TGTCAATGTTAATCAATACTTTAGTCTATAATAAAAGAGAAATTACGCGAACGTAAATATATATATATATATATAATTATATATGCATTCTCATCTACAATTTGTCGATGTAGCAGGACTCGCACCACATCTATTTCACGAGACATGATTTTATCGACAGTGTCGCAAAATAGATGTGACTTGTAATTCCACGGCCCAATTATAGACATTGATGACGGTAGTGTACGGCGATTTCTACGGCGATTTCTATTTCTTTGTCACGAAAAAGACTGGCGTGGCCGCTCTCAGGTTCCTCTGTAATAAGCTTTCTCGGCTACGTTCCAAAATTCTATTCAATTCTATTCAATGTCGCCAATCAGGATAAAAACAATAAAGATTTCCTGTTACCAATTGATCCATTAAATGCTATTCTACCGAGTAGAATTTTGGAACGTAGTTTCTGGTTGCATTGCGCATAATGGCGACCGACGAATTGGACAGCCAATCAAAATATTTGTCCAGAAAGATACAAACAAATTTTTGAAAAATATATAATATAAAACTGCAATATAAAACTTTATAAATTACAAAAATATGTAAAGTATATAATAAACTGATTACAAACTGTTGCGTGTAATTATGATAATCTCTCTTATTACGTCATATAGAAGAAACCACATTTGCTTCTCGCATCTTGGATATACTTCTGATTGGTAGAAAAGGAAATTCTGCTAGTGCGCATCCTTGAGAATGCTACGCTTCATTTTTTTTACATCATGTGTACGACTATAACTATATTATTCGATGGATTATGATAAATTACCTCCCTCCCCTCCCTCTCTTGATCACCGACAATCCGTCTTCCCTCGTTCATTTTGTTGCCGGATGTCGTCGAGTTTGGTTCGCTGCCGTTTCCTGCTGTTCGACGTCGTGGAGAGAGAGAAAGAGAGTCCTTTGTTCTTGCGTGAAGGGGTAAGTGCCAATTCGTTTTCGAAATCCAACGTCATCCACGTGCACACATTGCTCAAGTGTCTTGTAATGAATTTTCTGCGCACGACTTTTTCCAAACTTAATAATTTCGACTATATTTTTCGATTATATTTTGGCGCAGAGCTTGATCACACTTAGTTTTCCATCAACATGATGAACAACGTTGTCTCGTTCGTATGATCGTCTCTTGATTATAATTCTTACGTGCATCTGATGACTCGCACGGCGACATCATCGCCGCATGCTTACACCGTTAAGATTTTAGTTCTCGTTTCTCTTTTAGTGCCGGTAGAGCTACCTTTTTTCCTATCGAGGAGCGGCCGTTAAGTAGCTCGTGCTTATCATCGCAATTGTTTTAGTGAGTATTTTGTTTCTCTTATGTTTGAAGAGGGATTAACCGTTGGTGCTTCTCGTCTCCATTTAGCTTTTAAAATTTCTACATTTTTTAGTTGCATTTAAAAATCACTCTAATTATTGTTGATGAGTATCAAGGTCATGCTCGAGAACATTGCTTTAAAATTATTCCTGCATTATTCCTGCAAAATTTTTGCTTTATTTATATTTATTAATCATGTCTATTGGTCTATTTAAACATGCAAAAAAAAATTTTGGCAACAATATTGTATAGATTTGTTTAAGAATAAAAACTTTTGATAGAGAAAGTAAAATTAGAAACATGTGATAGATTTCTTTTATGTCTGTAATCTCTTTTTATTCTTGAATTTATATACATGCAAATACAAAAAAATTATTTGTCACTAACCACGTGTCATTTTTTTGCGTAGACTTGGGATGTAGCGGTTTTAGAGCCAAAGCTAAACTTTTAATAAATCCAAAATCTAATAATTGCAGTTATTTTCCTTTCCTAGAAATTATTGCGATGCGATCTTTTTATCTTGATCATAATTCAAATCTGGGTTTCCCATAGATAGGTGCCTCTACCAATTTGACCATTGAAACATATGATATTTATCACACTAATCAGATGAGTTGTGAACCTTCTTAACTAAGATGAAAAAAATTTATTACGAAAAAAATTTAGTTTTGGCTTTAAGTTGCTACATTGTAAATATGATATATATATAGTTAGTGATATGGATATTTTTCTTGAATTTCCATATATAAAATTGAAAATAAAGAAATTAAGCATCTAAGATCTTATCCTGATTGCCAAGTATTATATCTCCTTTTGAATATATTCCGAGTTTATGTATATTGATTGTTTATGTTTCTTTTTATAATCAATATAATACTTATAAATTGTATGATGGATATGATATTGCCCCAGTCTGAGATCTGTGACTGATTCAATTGACTGATAAGATTATTTCTATTTCATTTTTTTATCAGTATAAAGAGAACATTGCTTAATTTATATATTCTATTTATACAGAAAGAGATGGAAGGATGGACTGAGACCCGTTGTAAATTTTCATTTCAAATCAGGAGTTCATGTAAGTTATTTATGTCGTTTTAAATTTAAAAAAGGTATTGTTTCATAAGTTGATAACAAACAGAAAGAAACCCAAGAGCGGCCATCCTGGCCTTTTTTATTTAGGACGGTCGAACCCCCTCCCCCTCCTGTACACTAGCGCACCAACATTCATTTTTACACGTGGTACTACGTATCGTGTCCATTTTGCAACATGCCGATGAAATTGCCGTGTCGAAAATAGATATGGTGCGAGTCTCCGGTGCTACATCCACAATTCGTGGATGCGTAATTATAGATATATTAAACATAAACATTAACATTATACACATGAATAAATAAAATCGCATAAGATGCATCTATAATTATAACATTATGCATCCACGAATTTTGGATGTAACACGAACTCACACCAACATCCATTTTCGACACGGCAATTTTATCGGCATGTCGCAAAATGAACGTGATACGTAATACTACGTAAATAAAAATGAATGTTGGTATGTTTCGACCGTCCCACGAAAAAGGCCGGGATGGCTGCTTCTTTGCCATAAATATGATATTAACAACAAATGTGTATGATGATCATTTAGATAGAACCGTACCCAGTCAATCTGAATGAATATGACGAATGTTGTTTCTGAATGATATCAATAGTTCTAATGAGAATATATAAATAAAATAGGAGGAATATAACACATTGTATATTATTTCAGATATTCACCTGAAAAATGGATGAGAACAAATTTGAACCGTGAAATGAAATGCAATAAAAATTATGTAAGTCTCAAGTTTTTAAATAAGTTTTTGAATATAGGAAAAAATATTTTTTTTATATCGTGAAAATTGCTTTTCTGAATTATAAATGATGAACAATAAGTTATCCCTGTCTTACATAAAACATGGTGAAAATTTTTTTCTGAAATATTAATATATATAATTGAACAATTATATTGAATAATTTTTGAAATTAATAAGAATGATTTTTTTTTCCAGAATGTGAAAAGTGTACATAGAGAATGTATAAAGAAGAAAGAGACTGAAAAAAAAATGTTGAGATTCTCTGCACTAAGTTTATATGTTACATGTAACAATAAATTCTACATCACAAAATGACATTTTTAAGCATAATGTAAGAATGACTTCTTATTTTTTATATACTTTTCTGATTCTATGATGATTGTAAATTTGACAAGCATATGTCTGAAAATCTCTTGATGTAAAACTTTTAATCTGATAACAGAATGTTTTATTTGTCTTGACTTTTTTATGTATATATGTTAAGAATATTCTATACTTAATTTCAGACTGACACTTTGTGCGATTGTAGTTACGATGCGATTGTATGCGTGATGCTCGCAAATTTGTAGGTAAATATTAAAACGTTAGTTGAATGAATATTTTGAATACAATGTAAAATATAGAATATGATGTTAGTTTATATATACGCTATACTGATTATTTATGATTGGTTCTTGCCCTCGCTGATTTTTGTCTCTAAATTTAAAAAAAATTTTTTTCTTTTATATTCGATCTTAGAATTATTGTTCTTATTACAGATTTGTCGATAAAAATGCGGTCTTGTTTCATCTACATCTGTTTTTTACGGATCTATATTTGATAGATTTTGCTATTTTTTGAAGGGGCCCTCTTCGTGAGAATCACTTTGTCGTTATAAGAGACTTGGCTACGAGCTATTAAGATTATCAGTATTTCTATTTCAATCATGTTTCAATGGCTGCCGTTGCTATAGTTATACCTTTCCTCTGAAGATACATTCCTGTTTCTTGAAATATAGAAGGAATATATATATTTTGCTATAAAGGTAATGAACTAACTTCAAATTAACACATTTTAAATAAATTTAAATAAATTTTTTTATTAATATTTATAATGGATATCTTTATTATTTAAAAAAAAAAATGAAAATTCATAAGAAATATTCCTGATTTTTTTTGTTGTTTTTTTTAATGATGTCTTTCCAAATATACGCTATGATGTATAGTGATAATTAAATATTTTGCTGAAGCCCTCAAATAAATAATAAAACTTGTAATTATTGTGGTTTTATTAGTTAACAAATTTTGTTTTTTCTTTTAGATGGGAAGAAATGAGAGGAAATGAAAAATAATTGGCGGATAAATAATGTAAACAAGATAAAATAAAAGACGAATATAATCCATAGAAATATGATTCTTTTATTGGAGAACCTTTATACTTTAAGGTACAAAATGCGAAAGTAATAATGCGCGTTCTTCTTGGACTAGATATCATTCCGCGAGAACGTGACAACGCATGAGATCGTACGAGGGTGCTATTATCTATATTGACGATTTTGATCATATCGATAATTCATCGATATCATCGACGTTGTATGCACAACACTGTCGTCAGATCTCATCCGTACATATGAGAGATCACATTCATCTTGTTCATCTTCGTTTCATGCAGGATGACAAACAATGCAAATAATGGTAATAATCAGAATTCAAATTTTAAGAAATTGATACTCGGTTAACAAAATAAAGCCAATATCTCGTTTTTCAATATTCAAATTCTATCATATAATAATAATAATAATAATAATAATATACGTTTATTGAAATTGATTCTATTTTAAGTGAACGCGTGATAAAGTATGATCGATCACACAGAGAGCTGATAATCTAGCACTCGGTGCATAACACAAGGACGCGAGAAATACAATCGCGAGCACATAATATATAATGCATAACATAATTACACTATAATACATAATAGAGGATGCCAGCCGGCCAGGCTGTTCCGAATAATCAATATAGCGTGTAAAGATTCAAAAAAGTATTCTTATACTAAGTCGCCAACAAACAGCTCACAATACTATCTGTGCAGTGCTATTATGACTGTCGTACATTTATAAAAATTACACTCGCTCTCGCGGGCGAGTTGGTCGCGTCTGTATATTCGAAATAATTCCTCGTCGGCCGCATCGAAGGCCGGCATGGAAACTCGCATTTTCCTTGACGTACGCCGCCTGAGTGTTCACGAACATCGCGATATCGCCACATGAGCAAGAGATGGAACATCGAGTATTCCGTAGCATAAACGAGCTAATTGATATTGCGTTTGCACCTCTGCCTCTCATGAATCACATTGAATGTCGGTGGAAATTTTTCATCGCAGAAATTCCCAACACTATCGTGATATTGCAAAATCCTAACGAGATTCAGATCCTATCCGTAATTGGTGAAAGTCACTTCTCTCATTGCACATATTATACATTCATTAGATAAACATTCTTTGTTTCATATTTGAATATAGTTTCAAGTTCATAATATAGTAATATCATTTTATCGCCTTCATTTGATCAATAAGATAAAAAATTAATCTTGGTCATCTCTTGCTTTTAGTGAACTCGTATGAATCCAAGAAAGGGAGTGCACTTTGTGTTCTATTATCCATATAAAAATTTCGTTTTCTTATATATGTAGAATTAAAAATGTAAAAAGATAATATGATAATTTAATAATCACTATAAATCTCTTTTTACAAGCTAGTTATAATTACAATTGATATTAATGAATATAGTTTATTACATTGGACACAAAATATCCTTCCTTCCTCTTGAAAGATTCATAATATTTAGAAACGGTCTGAATTACACTTGCAACGTTTGCGTCGATATGGTTAGACATAATTTTTGTCACATGTCAAGCTCTCAAAAATTTACCCTAACACCCTGTGGTTTAGATCGTGTTAGTCGTACGATAAAAAACTTACGAACGAATTTCATTTCCGTTTGTCTTCTTTTAAAGTAGCCTTCTTATTGATTTTGCTAAGTTAAAAATTCGGCATACCGTAAGTTTTCTTTTTAAATAAATTAACATTGATTCCCATTACATGGCTACCTTCCGTGAGTTACCGCTAGCACCTTTCACTGAATATTATATTTATATGAACTACGGCACTCCCGACTATTGCCGTTCGCTATACCAATATACTATATATCATATCTACATTGAGCATGTCGTCTGCCAGTTGTCACAACTGGAGCTGATAATTTGTGATAGGATCAAAGTCTTTTTGGTGAGTGGAATTTAAGGCCATCACATATCCCCATAGTCGCATGGCGGTTGCGCATACCTTTTGTATCTCGTGGACTTCTTTGAAATCCAAGTCTGCTCGCCAGTGAAATGGCGCGACTTTGGAATTGCGGAAGGTGCTCGACACACCACCCACATCATTCTTCGTGTGCGTATCTAGAAATCTCTTCACATTCACGTGGAAGTTCAAACCGTAAAAATTATAAAGTTCCTTCACGTGCTTGTAGGGATCCACAGATAGGTCTTCGTAGCGCACCACCCTGTTTATCACGTATAAAGATCAAATTACGTAATAAGTACTGCTGAAATAAGTTACGATTTCAACAAAGTCATTTAAAAATTGTACATTACATTCGGAAGAAATCTTTGCAAATACGAAAGTTCGGAAAAGCAGTTGTATGATTGTGTAGTATGTTTACCTGAAAGAATGTGGATATTTTTTCGATAGTTCTACTGCCGCATTAAAGTCCGACACCATGTCTGCACAGACCAAGGCTGGATCGGAGCAGTCAGGCTTAGCGGGACACCATTCTCTGTGTTTTCTGGATTGCAGAATGCCCCTCGGATCACGAATAAGTAGAACGAGTCGCACGCCTAAACTACAATCCAAATAAATACATGTTTTTATGCTATGCAGAGATATAATGGATCTCGTGTTTTTTATATCTATCACATAATTTCTTACTCTTCTTCAGCCAGGAGTCTCTCTGCTGCATGCAGTCTCAATCGCACAAGCTTCACCGATTGAAACGGAAAGAGCCGGCAAAATTTAGCGACGAACCGTGGATCCCAGCAGATGCGTTTATGCGCTTGGCATTGCCGCCATAAATGCGTATTGTGATTGAACACCCAAGGATGAGTCTTCCCATAATCCAAGTACTGATCTATAGTAATTACAATTGTATGCAATCATTAAATGATGCGCCTTCAAGCGAATAGAAATTCAAAGACGTAAAATTACCGAGTTCTTTGTATTCGCAATTCAGTAGAGAGATTATCCTTGTCAAGGACTCCTCAGCGAGTGGCGGCCCTCGGATTTGTACGATTCCATAATCTAGCAGCGGTTCGTAATGATAAAAATTTGCTGGATGCGCGTTTACCACGTCGCCGAGAAATGTGCTACCACTTCGCCAACTCGTCAAAATTACACTTCTCATGGGTCTACCGCCCTTCTCCATTACTAAATCTTCAAGTTTGCTAAACGGGTAATAATTAAATATTTTATCGGTACGGAAATTTCTCGGAAATTTCATTCTTATGTACATAATAATTTACCTTACGTTTATCCCATATTTTCCATTTGGATATTCGTAATTTTCCATCTCTCTTTTAATCGCCCTCCTTTGTTGGTCAACCACTTCCTGAATTTCGGTGATTGTAGCATTATCCGCGGATCCTGTAATGTATGCCTAAAAAGCAGACCAAAGCTGATTACTAGAGAATTATTATCAGTTTTCTGTTAGCAACATCACATATAAATAGTGTTAAAAGATAGTTTATCTTTGAACAGGCATATATATATTTTTTTAAATAAACAGCTTGATAATTGGAATTCAATCGCACAAAAGCAGATTTCTACAGCAGGTTATTTATTTATTACTCTATTAATTTAACAAAGATATATTTTAAAACTATACGCACTATATAAATGTTAGTTTATTAAGCTTTTTTAGTACTTATACTTTTATTTCTCTAAATATGTTAAAAAATACAAGTAATAAAGATAATAGGAATATGATTCATAACAAGCAAGGCGAAAATAATTTAAGCTCGTAAATTAGAAAACGGAAAAAAATACGTTAGTAAAAAGTCTAATTAAGAAATAATATGTATACAATACACGCTTTATTAAATTAATATAATTCAAATATATAATATATACTATATAATTATATTATTATAAATATATTATATTTGTAATAATATAAATAATATATAATATAAATAAATTCGATAAATCATTACTTCTTTTTTTTATCCCATCTTTATTGTTTCAACGATCAGTTAATAATAATATAGTTAACAAAATCATGAAGGTATTTTAAGAAACACGAACGTGCATATTTGAAGGAATAATGTATATTCGAAATAATTCGAATCCATACACTGCACTTACACAAAGTTAATATAACAATAATAAACTAAAAATAATAAAAAGAAACATTTCTAAAGACAGAAGCTTGTTATAGCTAGTTACACAGTTAGTTACGCATTTTAACACGCTTGGCATATCAACATTACGATAAGATAAGGCATTCTAACGATAAGTGATATTCTATCAATAAATCATTAATAACAAGTGACTCTGATTATGATTAATATTATTTTGATTATTATTTAATCGATAACAAGTGGTTAATTAGTAATAAGTGGTAAGCATTTGCGCATTCAAATTTACACACGTGCATACCTGGCTTACCGTTACCGGCTCTTGGATTTTGATGGTCCGCGGCCTTATCTCAATATCCTAAATCGAAGAAGAAAAAGCATCCACGTTTTAGCGTTTCGATAGTGCATCGTGTATTTTCGCGTGAGCACGCGTACATATCGTTGATAATGACAGAACAATGTGATCTCTCTCTCTCTCTCTCTCTCTCT